GAATCTGTATCCAAAGCTTAATGTTAACTATTATTAAATATGTAAGTGTAAGACGCAGTTGCATAAGACTTTCACAAAAACGATTTAGAGATACATGTATATGTAAATGTCTTTATACTCTTACACTCAGTTTTACAGAGTCAGACAAGGCGAAAGTTCGCATCCGTGACATACATAGAGACAGTTTTTCTTTGTATTTGTGAAAATATGAAATAAAATAAAGTCAATCACTCTCGTTCTGTAGTGAGTGATATTTTTTCAATTTGTTTAATATTTATTTTTTTTGTTTGTGTTTGTTTCAGATAATTTCCACAAAGAAAGTCTCATTCTCTCATTCTCACTCGCTCACATTCTCACAGCTTGTTTATTTTTTTCTTTTTAAATAAAAAAAAAATTTATTTGTGTATATATTTATATTTGTTTTTATATATATATATATATATATAAAAATAAAAAAAAATATATATATATATTTTTATATTTATATTTATATATATATATTTATATATATATATATATATATATATATATATATATATATATATATATATATATATATATATATATATATATATACAGTAGAAGTCAGAATTATTAGCCCCCCTTTGAATTGTTTTTCTTTTTTTTTTATATTTTCCAAATGATGTTTAACAGAGCAAGGAAATTTTCACAGTATGTCTGATAATATTTTTTTTTCTGGAGAAAGTCTTGTTTGATTTATTTCGGCTAAAATAAAAGCAGATTTAAATTTTTTAAACACCATTTTAAGGACAAAATTATTAGCCCCTTTAAGCAATTTTTTTTTCTGACTCTCTACAGAACAAATCATCGTTATACAATAACTTGCCTAATTACCCTAACCTGCCTAGTTAACCTTATTATACCCTAGTTAAGCCTTTAAATGTCACTTTAAGCTGTATAGAAGTGTCTTGAAAAATATCTAGTCAAAAAAATTATTTACTGTCATCATAGCAAAGATAAAATAAACCAGTTATTAGAAATTAGTTATTAAAATTACTATGATTAAAAATGTGTTGAAAAAATCTTTTCACTGTTAAACAGAAATTGGGGAAAAAAAATAAACGGGGATAATAATTCAGGGGGGGCTAATAATTGACTTCAACAGTGTATATATATATAAATCTGTGGAAATCTGTGTAATTCTGCAAGTGCAGATTCCGTGTGGGCCTACATATTGTTAGGCCCACACAGAATCTGCGCACGCAGATTTCCAGCCCATCATTAATTCCGTTTATACCCTAGAGTGTAAATCTACATTTATTCAGTTTTTAAATTTATTACGGTAATATTATTGTTTAATATGAAAATGTTAATCTGATTTATGTAGAATGCAGTTTGTACAGTAATATTTTTCTGTCTTTTAGAAGATATGTTATAAGCAGGGCCAGACAGAATCTCCAGACGTTTTTTTGCAATTTCTGCAGAGAATTTTGGTAAAAATCTATGGATTTCTGCGGAATTATTTAGGGAGTATCCAGCGGAGTATCATAACTAAAACCTTAATATATGAAATAAAAAGTAATAAATTATTATTTATGAATGAAAACTGAATAAATTCAGATTTACACATTTACTCAAGTAAATAAATAGAATTAATGATGGGCTAAAAATCTGCGAAAAATCTGCGGAATTCTGCGCCCCCAGATTCCGTGTGGGCTTTCTTTGTTTACCAAATAAAGTGAAAGCAATTAGATTTGCATTTTAAACATTAAATAAAAGTTTAAAAGATATTATTTTTTATTTCACATATTAAGGTTTAGATAAGATACTCCCTTATTCAGCATAAATCCACAGATTTTTACCAAAATTCTCTGCAAAAATAGCAAAAAACGTTTGCATTTACGTGTTGGTGTGTACTACACTGTATAAAGCCATTAATTGACCTTACGTAAATAAGTGAGTAAACCAGCTGCGTTATAATTATTAAGTAAACAAACTGTGTGTACAATTATAAAAATTAAGTTGAGTCAGTAGGTTTACTCACTTTTTTTGAAAGTACAGTCAACTTGTTGCTTTTAAGGCAATGACTATATAAAATTCATTAGTTGGCTCTACTTAAAATGAGTGAGTAAACACGTTGCACGTTGAAATTAGTTATTAAAACTATAAATTTTTTTAAACGTGTTGACAAAATCTCCCTGTTATTGAGGGGAAAAAAATAAACAGGGGGGTGAATAATTCTGACTTTAAACGTATATATAGGCAGTACACGGAAAACTATTGCATGAATGCAAACTTTTATTCGATTTTATACGCGATTAGTTGTGATTAATCATTTAACAGCACTAAAATGCAGCTTAGAGCACTTTAAGAGCTGTGATGTGGATGTGCGGTGTCATTAATTTACCCATCTACATTAAACCACAGACATGGTGCTCTCAGGGTTGACTCTGACAGATCGGGAGCTCTTCCTCAGGTCCTGCAGCTGTTTGGCCGGTTTCCCGACTCCCTCCTCGAACCTCCTCTCCACGACAGGAAGCACTGTTTCATGCAGGAACGAGGCGTTCTGCAAAATAAAAGCCTTTTTCTCAGCCTCCTGCTCGCAGCGCAGACTGTAGTCCACATGCTGCACCGCCACCAGAATGATCTCCCGCAGGCTCTCCAGGAACACCATGTGCAGCTCTGGGAAGTACAGTTTAAGTCCTTCCTCTAGAAAGGCCATCATCTGCTTGCTGAAGGCCACGATGGTGTAGCTCAGGTTGACCCAGCAGTCTTCTCCAGTGTACTGCTCGAAACTACCGATCCCGCAGCTTCGCATTTCCTCCTTGAGCTTGGCCAGCGCTTCGGGAGTCATGAGGTTCATCCTCCTCCACATCTCCTCAGAGTTACGGTGTCTGGTGGCTTCGATGATGATGTCCTTCTGGCTTTGGAGAGCCGCCCTGATGTCCTTCACTAGTAGCGATTGCAGAATGAAGGTAAGATCCAAACCGATCTCGCTTAGCTGCTTGCAGTGTTCGCTAGCGAACTTCACGCATTCTGCAGCAGTAGATAAGCTCTCCTTGCTGTCGAACACCTGCTTGCTGAAGGCGTCCACGAACATCTTCATCACCGAGCGAGACCAGACCACAAATGCGGAGTAGCAGCCGGTGTCGCCGGCGAAATCAGTTTCGAACTCTCTTGCAGTTTCGAGGAGGCTCGTGAAGAAGATGTTGCAGAGCTTCTGGATGTACAGCAAGGTGGCGCCTTCGATGCGAAGCTGGCGGATGGCGGTCTGCACAGCAGCTGCTCGGTTCTTCAGAAAGAGCTCACAGGCTTTCGTCGACTGTCCTAAGCGAACCAGCTGGGAAACAGCTCTTCTTGTAGCTTTGGGTCCTCCACGGAGAGAGCGATCAGGCGAGAGCTCAAACACCAGAACCTCCGTTAGCTGTCGGACACGCTCGTCCACCTTCCCCCTGAGCTCCTTCACCCGTGGGCTCACCGGCTGCTCCTTTAGATATTCGTTTAGCTTGTCTAGAAGATCAACAGCTCCTTCAAAGTCTCTCTGAGCAATGCAAACATCGAGGTCTTCAGGAAGCTCCTGGATCCATTCAGGACTCAAATCCACATGTTCCTCCGAATCCAGAGGCTCATCTTCATCGAATGGGTTCGTGGAGACCTCCTGACGGACTGGAGATGTTGGCACCTCCTCTTCCTTCTTATGCTTGTCTTTCGCCACTTTGTTTTTCTTGGTCTCCTCCAGAATCTCCAGCCACTCTTTCTTGATTTTGCTGTTCTCCGCTTTGAAGATGCGACTATCGGGGAACATGAGGATTTTGAACATGTCCTTCATCGGAGGGTTGTCCTTCACGTTTACCACAGCGAAGCTTTCTAGGTCATACAATGCATTATATTTGTATTTAACCGCTCCGCGCCTGTTGGCCAGCCAGGTCGCGATGAGCAAGCAGTCGTTCATTAGAAACGCGTGGACTTTTTGGATCTGCGACATGTTATCAGCATCATACTCCAGGAGGTCTCCATTATACACCAGATATCTGCCTGGGGTTTCCATGATGTTCTTGCAGCCCTCCACTTTCTCCAAAAGAGTGGTCAGGGTCCTTTGTTTGACCTCTTCGGTCTCCTTTGGGAAGGCGGCGAGCATTTCTTTGGCCGCTTCATCTTTATCTGTGGACAACAGAGACTGTGTGATGCTCTCCATGATGCTCTTCTGCTCGGTCAGGATGTGACTCAGCTGGTACATCTCGCTTTCCAGGTAGGAAATCTCCTTAGCCGTCTCAATAAACTGCCTGTAGTTTTTGTACACGTTTTTCTTCAGGTTTTGAGCGGTTTCGTCGGCGAGTGTTTGTATTTTTTGACGGTGTTCTTGTAAATCTCGGTCTCCGTCCGACTGCTGCGAGAGCTGCTTCACGTAGGACTGAGGGTCGAAATTGGGGGATTCCAGCAACTTACGCAAACGATTGCCGGTGTCTGCCATTTTGGAGACGTCACGGCTGAAGTAGATGTATGAAAGAAGCACGAAAATGATGATTATTGTTTGATAATCAGGCTGTCATTGCAGTACAGCTGCAAAGCAGATCGCTTCCTCAAACGGAAACTAGCGACACCCTCCCTGTGACGTTACATCACGTGAAGAGCACGCATTTCAAAATAAATAGCTACATAATAAAAGCTCCGTGTTGTCTGGGGTTGTAGATATGAGGGGAAACAGTTGTGGGAAGATTTTTTATTTATTTATTTATTATTTATTTATTTTTTATTTATTTTTTTTTGTTGCATTATAACACAATTACAATAAGGCAAAATTCGAATAACAACTATCATCTGCATTTATAGAACAGAGCACACATAATAAAGTCAATAAAATAGTAATACAAAAAGATACAAACACAACTAAAAGAAAGAAAGAAAGAAAGAAAGAAAGAAAGAAAGAAAGAAAGAAAGAAAGAAAGAAAGAAAGAAAGAAAGAAAGAAAGAAAGAAAGAAACATTTACACCAAGTACACTTCTATTATTTTTTTTTTCAATAAACTAAACAGTCTTGTTCCACATTTTGATGGCATCAACTTTAAAGATTCATAGTATAGCCAAAATTACTTTTGTAAAACTAAAAATAGTGGTTTTGTTTTAAGGCACTTGCATTTATAAATATAAAATTTCCCCAAAATTACAATATTGTTCAATACAAATTGAGTATTAACATCTTTCCCTAATAAACCAAAGAAAATTTCATTTATAGAAAATTGGGACGACAACTTGAGAAAAATCTTTTATCACTCGAATGAATCAGGCCAAAACGTTCTACTATATAAACATTAAAAAAAAAAATGTGCAGTCAATTCAATGTCAGCCTCACAGAATGCACAATTGTTGTGATCAAAATTAAATCTATGTCTAAGAAGCTCTGAAGATGGCTAAATTTAATTAAAAATGATATAAAATGTTTTTTTAAAAAAAGTATTTCTTAAGCTTTGGGAGGTATTGGGAAGGAAAGAAACATTGTTCCTAATTTGACACATGATTTCTATTAGCTTGTATTGGAAATTTATCTCGGGTTAAAATTGATCTTACTGTTTTATTAGGTATTTCACCCAGAATAAAATCTTGTCCATTAATCAACAAATACAGCAGATGAAGTGTGTAATTTATATTGGTAATCACATTATTACTAACCATCGTTAGAAATGAGACATATTACAAATGAGACATATTGTACAGCTAGTTACATAATTGTTACAAAGGATAAGAAAAAAATTATATATATATACACACACACACACACACACATATATAACATAAAACATATGCGTAAAACATATGCTGGATAAGTTGCCGGTTCATTCCGCTGTGGCGACTCCACATTAATAAAGGAACTAAGCCAAAATGAAAATTAATAAATGAATAAATTCGCTTTCAACTCGATGCTATTCGTGTAAGTTTCCCATTCTTCATTCTTAAAAAATCTAATAATGATTTCTGCGATTTATTGTTGTTTGTGCAGCCCTACCAACTCCGTGCAAATATTTTGATCGGTCACCATTTTATGTAAAAAGAAACTACGGTTGTTTTGTAACATTATTTCTTTCATATTGCATGTCATAAAATATCTTAACCCCAAATATAGCGTTTTTTACGTAAATAATTTTAACATTATTCTATTGATCATTAATATAACATTATTTAAAGCAGAAACTGAAATACATTTCCCTGCGCACCTCACACTCCGTGACTTTACAATTGGCCAGCAGCTTTGTTGCTTGGTGGGTCTCTAGCGGGCAGTGTTGACAGACTTCTTTCAAAAATATGAGACGTTGACATCTTTAGCTCCACACTAATGAAAACACTTGATTTTATTGGATTTTATACGAAACCCCTTTAGTCTTTTACAAATTAGTTTTGTTAGTCGCGATTAATAGTGTAAAAAGTGGCGTTTTTCTGCTGGTTGATGTTGTTTTGCTGAACTGTTGTTACTAAAGCAGACCGAAGAAGATGATGGAGGATGAAGACTTTTTACTCGCTCTTCGTTTACAAGAGCAGTTTGACCAGGAGACACCGGCTGCTGGATGGCCCGATGAGGACTGTCCGTCCAGTAAGAGGCGCAGGGTTGACCCCTCCGGTGGTTTGGACGTGATTCCCTTCACTCAGCCCCGAGCCGAGAGACCGCTGTCCATCGTGGACGAGTCCTGGGAGACCCTGGACCCAAACCCCGACGTGAGAGCCATGTTCCTGCAGTTCAATGACAAGTTCTTCTGGGGGAAACTCAGCGGTGTGGAGGTGAAGTGGAGTCCACGGATGACGCTGTAAGAGGGTCCCACATCTCACAGATTTATGATTGACACCAAAAGATAGACAGACAGACAGACAGACAGACGGATAGGTTAACAAAAATAAATATAAGGACAGACAGATGCAAAAATGTAGACAGAAATAGACTGACAGCTTAGTCAGTGGATAGACAAGCAAAGATAGATAGATAGATAGATAGATAGATAGATAGATAGATAGATAGATAGATAGATAGGTTGAGACTTAGCTTATTAGCAGATAGATAGATAGATAGATAGATAGATAGATAGATAGATAGATAGATAGATAGATAGACTTAGCTTATAGATAGATAGTTAGATAGATAGATAGATAGATAGATAGATAGATAGATAGATAGATAGATAGATAGATAGATAGATAGATAGATAGATAGACAGACTTAGCTGATAGATAGATAGATAGATAGATAGATAGATAGATAGATAGATAGATAGATAGATAGATAGATAGATAGACAGACTTAGCTGATAGATAGATAGATAGATAGATAGATAGATAGATAGATAGATAGATAGATAGATAGATAGATAGACTTAGCTGATAGATAGACAGACTTAGCTGATAGATAGATAGATAGATAGATAGATAGATAGATAGATAGATAGATAGATAGATAGATAGATAGATAGATAGATAGATAGATAGACAGACTTAGCTGATAGATAGATAGATAGATAGATAGATAGATAGATAGATAGATAGATAGATAGATAGATAGATAGATAGATAGATAGATAGACAGACTTAGCTTATAGATAGATAGATAGACAGACTTAGATAGATAGATAGATAGATAGATAGATAGATAGATAGATAGATAGATAGATAGATAGATAGATAGATAGATAGATAGATAGACAGACTTAGCTTATAGATAGATAGATATATAGATAGACAGACTTAGATAGATAGATAGATAGATAGATAGATAGATAGATAGATAGATAGATAGATAGATAGATAGATAGATAGATAGATAGATAGATAGATAGAAAGACTTAGCTGATAGATAGATAGATAGATAGATAGATAGATAGATAGATAGATAGATAGATAGATAGATAGATAGATAGATAGATAGATAGATAGATAGATAGATAGATAGATAGATAGAACACTCAGCAAACAAACATGGCTGATAAGAGCCTTTCTGTATATATTTTCTAAAAACAAAATATGATTAAAGTTTTTAGACACAGTTGCTACACAAAATATCACAATATTCAACGTACAGCTTTGATACTGCAAAATGGCAATTATATGTGCGAGAGACGGAAGTCCAGTGTTTGGATGAGGTTTTTAAATCCCTCTTTGATCACTGCATTAAAAGTCAAAGTGTCTTTACAAACCGATACGAGTATGAGTATTTTAATTTGTGTACTCGCCGATACCGAGTACCGATCCGATACTTCATTGATTTGGTTTTATTGAAGTTTATTTGCTAGCTTATAAATAAAGTGAGTGCTAGCTTGTTTAGCTGTGGTTAGTACGCAAGGGTCATATTTCATATTCGGTTTAGTAGCCGATAGATTGGTTAATGTATTTTATAAACGGATTGTTTTTAAGAACGAAGCTATTAATATATAATACATTAGGCTAATTAAGACATTGAGGTCAGGTAGGACAACAAATCACATCCATGCAGTGAATTACTGTTGAGTGGTATCGGTGCATGGTATCGGCCTTTCATGTCCGATATAAGTACGAGTATTTTAACCAAGTATCGACCCGATACTCATATCGGTATCGGTGCTTCCCTAGTCGTAAGTTATGTTAGTTATCTTCTGGTGCCTTTGTGATGTTTTTTTATATGGTGTAACAGCCGCATAACAACTGAAATTGTACTTTGCTGTTGCTAGCTACTAGATTGATTGTCACTGGCAATATTTTAGTTGACTTTTTAGCATGACAATCCTCATTTAGCTGCCTGTGGAGCTTTTTTAGGTGCTGGTTGTTGTATTTTCCTGTGTTGTGGCAACAATTCTGCCACAGCTAATACAATTTACCTGTTTTTGTTCTATGATTGTGACTTCGAAACCAAAATAATCCCATATTACCAACGTGCTGTTTTTCATATTATTAATTCATCTATTAATGCTTCTGAAGCAGCAAATGGCATCATTTTTCCTGTTTGTTTGTTTGTTATTGTGGACGCTCCGCATAGTTTGGTCGAACAATTCTGATTGGGCAGAACGAAAGTGTGCACACTCAATTGGCTAGTAAGACTGTCACACACAGACGGCCGTCATGCATTTGCTCTGGGTGGCGGAAATTAAATAATATTTCATATCACTGCCTCTTGCGATTAGCTAACCACAACGTTTTAAATCACGATTGCAATTTAATTTTGAATAATCACACAGACCTATTATACAGACAAATAAACAGAAGGATGGATAGACTGGCACATGTTTTATTATTACTCTCTCAATGTTTCTCTTCCTCAGATGTGCTGGTGTTTGCTCTTATGAGGGAAGAGGAGGTCTGTGCTCTATTCGACTCAGTGAACCACTCCTGAAGCTCAGACCCCGCAAAGATCTTGTTCAGGTTGGTTAAATATGCCTCTCTTTTCATATCAAATGTGGCACGGTGGCTCAGTGCTCATCACTGTCGCCTCACAGCAAGAAGGTCACTGGTTCAAGTCCTGGCTGTGTCATTTCTGTGTTAAGTTTTCCCTGTGTTGGCAAGGGTTTACTGCGGGAACTCCGGTCCCACACAGTCAGGGCCGGCATGTCCATAGAGGCAACCTAGGCGGCCGCCTAGGGCGGCAGTAGAGTGGGCGGCGTCCGCGACACCTCCCTTACCACCCGCATCCTAAGTTATGTCCGCGACACCTCCCTCACCACCCGCGTCCTCAGATATATTCGCGCATAGACGACAGAATAGAGAGGGAGGCGTCAGCGACACCTCCATCAGAACCCGCGTGTCGGGCGGCAAAGATGAGGTCCGCGACACCCGCGCGTCCTTAGTTATATCCGCGCATTGGGCGGCAGAATAGAGAGCGCAGTGTCCGCGACACCTCCTTCCCTCCCTACCTCCCTCCCTCAGCACCCGCGCGTCCTCAGTTATATCCGCGCATAGTGCGACGGAAAAGAGGTCCGAGACACCTCACTTCATTTTCATAACCGGTCACTTTCGTTTTCACATTGGGGTTAAGGGCGGCGTGATCGTCCTCTGCCTAGAGCGGCAGTTCAGCTTGCTCCGGCCCTGCACACAGTCCGAAGACATGCACTAAAATGTTTTGAATGAGAAGCTGTAATGTAGCCGTGGCGGGATGAATTTTGGCGTGGTGAACCCCGCCATGGAACAATGAATGTCCGCTGAAAACAACCATCATGTGACCACATACACAGCCACACACATTGTCATGAGCTCGTCTGAGCTCCAGTGAGCAGTGCATGTCAGACAGTTAATCAAGGATGTACTGCTGGATCGCACCTCATTATAGTTGTTAAACATGATATTCAGACATCCCACGTCTCCCGGAAGTTCCGGGAGCCTCCCGCAAATGCATAGAGACTCCCAGATGCCCGCAAATGAGTGATAATCTCCTGGAAATCGCGCGTCTCCCTCCCGGTCCTCAAATAAGTCGCACACCCTTCTCACCCCTCACCACCGGATCCCTACTCGCTCTTCAGACCCCCCATCCCCCTTTTTCACATACATCGTATCCGCCTATGACGACAATGCCATCGTCAATCGCGATGTTTCACATTAGACATCGTACGATGCCAAATTGGTCGACATCGCCCAACCCTAATGCTGAAACCATATATTGTGCAGCCCTATACACAGGGACACATGGAGCCACCTAATATAATGGCAGGGGAACTACTGCTGTTACGTTCAAATAAAATAATAACATGTTCTACATCTGTTCACCCAAAACCCAAAACATTGTCACCTTTTACTCCACCTCAAGATGTTTTAAAGCTACATTTGTTTCTATAATGTTGTTGTTCTGTCCCATTTATATTGAGCTTTTTAATTCCTACCAGATGAAATGCCCTACCGCTGCATAAAACATATGCTGGAATAGTTTGCGATTCATTCCGCTGTGGTGACCCCTGATAAATAAGGGACTAAGCCGCAGGAAATTGAATGAAATGCCCTAAATGATCATAATCAGTTGACAACTTTTCGTAATTTTTCTTCCTACAGACTCTTCTTCATGAGATGATCCACGCTCTACTTTTTGTGACTCAAAACAACAGAGATCGAGATGGACACGGCCCAGAGTTCTGCAAACACATGAACAGAATCAACCAAGCAAGTGGCACCAACATCACGGTAAGACCCCCTCACATATACTAATGTGCCACAAACAGGACGTTAATATCACCAACCATTGCCATTTATTAAGGTGTATCCATGTAAATGGTCTACCTTGTATTATATTATGGAGTTATATTTATAACATTACGTTGTGGTAACCCACTGGCAGTGTGTCTGGATAAGTTTTATGAGGGATTTATGAAAGTTTCAAAATAAAAGTCACTATCCAAGTGACACTTAGGGAATGTAATTGAATAAATCGTCCTGGAAAATTATAGATTCTACAGGGTTTCCGCGTGGTCTTAAAATGTCTTAAATTTCAAAAAGAAAATTTTAGGACTTAAAAAGTCTTAAATTGACTGAAATATTGTCTTAATTATTTTAAATGAGTCTTAATTTTACTTCTTTTTATGTTAAGTTATCCAATCGATCCAAACAATAAATCTCTATAAAACTTTTAGCAAAATTCAATTTATAACTTATATTTTAATAAGTTGTTCACAATAAGTGTATTGTGCATACATTTTTTTTTAACAGTTTAAAAAAATTATGTTGAAAAAAATGAGAATGTAAACAACTAGGCTCTGCTTGTTTTGACTTATTATTTAAAATATGTGGTTAAGAAATAATAAATTAATTTTGTTTTTGATGCAGCGAGTAAAAACATTGTTTTTTTTTTTGCTGGGCCATTAAATAATCCTTAGCGTTTAGCCTTATATAAGTCTAAAATTTCATTCTTGATGGTCTTAAGGTCTTAAAGTTTTAATTTTGTGAAACATGTTTACAGTAGCAATGGGCAAGCATTTCCCTTCAACATGTCCATCATTGCCCTTCAGCATTTCCCATTAGAGTTTGCCATGATAAGATTAGCTCAGCCAAAAATTTAATTTAACTCATGGTTTACTCACACTTAAGACATCTTGTTGGAATGTATATGCCTTTAATAATATATAAAAAATCCAATTAGATTTATTTAAAAAAATAACTTGTCCTTGTCAAGCTTTAAACAGGGGTCTTAAAAAGTTAAAATCTCTTAAATTTTAAAAACAAAATTTTAGACCTTAAAAAGTCTTAAATTGACTGAAATATTGTATTGTTGGTCTTAAACTATTTTAAATAGGTCCTAATTTTCCTTTTTATGTAAAGTTATCAATAGATTAAAACAAAACATCTCAAAATTTTTAGAAAAACTCTATAACCTAAATTTTAAAATACATTTAGTTTTTTTTTAAAGTTGTTTTTAGCTATATTGAAATTTTTTTTTTAATTGTAAACAACTAGGGTCCGCTTGTTTTGACTGATTATTTCAAATATGTGGTTGAGAAATAAGTAATTAGAGTTTTTTTTGTAAGTAAAAATATATTTTTTTGCTGGGCCGTTAAAAAAATCCTTAGCGTTTAGCCCTATACAAGTCTGAAATTTCATTCTTGATGGTCTTAAAAAGTCTTAAATTTAACTTTGTGAAACCTGCAGAAACCCTGTTCTAAATGTCGGTTTCGATTACTCTTTGATTAATCGCCCAGCCCTAAATACAATCTTGAAATGTTTTGTGTTGCATCTGTTTTCACAGATATATCACTCCTTTCATGATGAGGTTGACGTGTACAGGCAGCACTGGTGGCGCTGTAACGGACCCTGTCAGAATCGCAGACCGTTCTTCGGATATGTAAAGCGTGCGATGAACAGACCTCCCTCGGCCCGGGACCCCTGGTGGGCTGATCACCAAAGGAGCTGCGGTGGAACGTACACCAAAATCAAAGAGCCAGAGAATTATGGGAAAACAGGCAAAAGTGATAAACAGAGAGACAAGATGCCTGCCACTGAGATGCCGAAGAAGTCAAAGCCTCCCAGCAGCACATCAAGTCAGTGGATTTACTTAATATCCACATTTTATTCACGTAAAAATGTACTTTTAACTGTTCATTTAGAATGAATGTGCAGTAAATCGACTGTTTATATTAAAAAGTTTAATAAAAATGTATATTTAATAGCATATTAATACCTGCTTGTCGTAGAATTTTTGGAAATAGGCTCATTTTACAACTTTTCTAGAAATAAACAATTCAGTTTTACCTTTTCTGAATCCATTCAGCCAATTTTTGGCAGGAGGACTTTTAGCTTAGCTTAGCATAGATCATTGAATCGGATTAGACCATTAGCATCCCACTCAAACTAAATTCAAAAAAGGGTTTTGATATTATTTCTATTTGAGACTTGACTCCTCTGTAGTTAGCTTGTGTACTGTGTGCTCACATCAGACACGGCTTGCGCGAATAAATCGGGGCTATTCACACGTAAATAGACACGTGAACATTTTTAATTACTCGTGTAATTCATGCCTCAAATTCACTATATTTGTTAAATTCACTTCACAACAGACGTGGATTCACTACTGATTGGTTAACGAAAATAAAATGTTTTAATTTTATATGTCGTTAAGGCTGGGAACTATACTTATAATTTGGCGTAATAGTCAAGGAACTTTGCTGCCGTACCATAGTTGCAGCGGCCTAGAACACTGATACTTTTTATTTTCCATTGGTCTCAGTACACAATGTCACTATAGAATAGTCAAGCTTTAAATATGAAAATTATCAAAGCTCTTTTTTGACATTTCTGAGTGGGATGCTAACGGTCTAATCCGATTCCATGGTTTATGCTAAGCTAAGCTAAAAGTGCTCCTATCAGACCCAGTCATCAACTAAATGGATTGAAAATGGTAAAACCCCTCTGTTTAACTTTAGGGAACTTATAAAATTAGTCTGTTTCCCCAAAAAAGTGTTTCTTTAAAGTGTTAAAGAGATAGTAGACCCAAAAATAACAAATTTGCAGTAAAAATAAATGCATGAAATGCACCTAAATCATTACCCATGCCTCCAGATGATTGGAAAAGCCGAAGAACACGTTGTTATTATATTTACTGAATCAAAATCTCGTCTACAAGCATTGAAATAGTTTAAACTGGAACATTCTGCGATTACTGACATTTTGATTCAAGTGAATGAACTACAGGGAAACTTTTATAATATATTTTTCTGCTGGATCCCTGAACATGTTGGCATTCTTGTAAACCAACAAGAAAAGTTGCCAAAACTGCTCATGTAGGAGGAATTAAGGTGTGAAAAATATCAACTTCAGACTTGAAACCACAAATTAAATTCAATTCTAGTTTTTTAAGGTCATGGGAATGGGATCAATGCTCAAATAATACACTTTTCTTTTAAAATAAATCCAGCCCTTAATAGCAAGAAAATCAAATTATTCTTGTAACTCAAGACGTGAAGTTATTTATACAAGTTGTCATATTAGACACACTAGACTCACTCATGGATATTTACTTAAAGGGGAAGTTGCTCTGAAATGTCAGCATTGTAATATCATCCTAAAGGTCAAACACACACACGTATACAATACCCTTTTTTAAAGGGAGTATTGACCCAAAAATGAAAATCCTGTCATCATTTACACATCCTTCACTTGTTCCAAACCTGTTTGAGTTTCTTTTTTCTGTTAAACACAAAAGATGTTTTGAAGAAAGCTGGAATTTTGTAACCATTGGCATTCATAGTATTTGTTTTTCCTACTGCGTAGGTTGATGGTTACAATTTTTTTTAACTTTCTTCAAAATAGGGTGTTCAACAGAATAAAAAAGGGTTTGGAAGCACTTAAGGGTGAGTAAATAGTAAGTACATTTGAATTTTATGTGAACTATGCCTTTAATGTTACAAGACGGTATTATTTTATGTGGAAAGACTTATATTAAATGTGAATCCTTCACATTTAAAGTAAAGTAAATCTTAAAAGGCTGCTTTTCAGTTTTATTTTGTATATTAATTATTGTTAATGATGTCTTTTTATTGTTATGGAAATGTTTTGCCATCAAATAGCTTAGATTAGTTACGTTTCTATCCAAAGATGCGGATTAGACTAAAATATCGCACAGACCAGGGGTCACCAATCTCGGTCCTGGAGGGCCGGTGTCCCTGCAGGGTTTAGCTCCAACTTGCCTCAACACACCTGCCTGGATGTTTCAAGTATACCTAGTAAGACCTGGATTAGCTTGTTCAGGTGTGTTTGATTAGGGTTTGGAGCTAAAATCTGCAAGACACTGGCCCTCCAGGAACAAGTTTGGTGACCCCTGGCACAGACATTTGTGAATAAAGCAGTGTTTCCGTGAGTCAAGGAGAGTTGTCACTTCTTGATAAACTGGCGCCACCTATCAAAATAAAAGCCAATGCGGGCCTTTTTCTTATATAGTAAGTTACTTGCGCTTCAGAAGACGAAACACAGTAAACATGTAGTTACTTTAGGAAGCGTAAGACACTCTTTGGAAGCGCAGATGCTCAAACCAGTTCTGAGGTAATAATATTGAAACACTTTGAAGTTAGATTTTGGCTGAGGGATTTTAGAAAGACCAAAACAACATTTCAGATGTTTTACAATCCATTAATGTCAGTGATTAATTTGTAAATGATTTCCAGAACAAAACCAGGAATTAAAAGATCGATGTGCACCACACAATTTCAGTTTTCCCGGAACATGATGCCAATAAACGGTGATAGCGCAAAAAAAGAGCATCGGATTTTTGAACGATCTTAGTACACAATGTAACTCTAAAAAAATCAGTCATTAAATAGGAAAATTATCAAAGCTCTTCTTTGACATTTTTGAGCTCGATGCTAATGGTCTAATCTGATTCAACGATTTATGCTAAGCTAAGCTAAGCTAAAAAGTGCTCCTGCCACACTGAGAGATTGTCTAAATGGATTAAAAATTGATAAAACTCTACTGTTTAACTCTAGGAAACTTATAAAATTAGGCCTGTTTTAAAAGAAAAATGTTTCATCAAAGTGTTAAAGAGTTAGTAGACAAAAATCAAAACAATTTGAGAGAACAAAAGAGTACAAAATTGTCACTTCTTCATAAACTGGTACCAGCTATCAAAATAGAAGCCAATGCGGACTTTTTCTTATATAGTAAGTTACTTGCGCTTCAGAAGACGAAACACAGTAAACATGTAGTTACTTTAGGAAGCATTAGACACTCTTTGGAAGCGCAGATGCTCAAACCAGTTCTGGAGGTAATAATATTGAAACACTTTGAAGTTAGACTTTGGCTGAGGGATTTTAGAAAGACCAAAACAACATTTCAGATGTTTTTCAATCCATTAATGTCAGTGTTTAATTTGTAAATGATTTCCAGAACAAAACCAGGAATTAAAAGATCGATGTGCACCACACAATTTCAGTTTTCCCGGAACATGATGCCAATAAACGGTGATAGCGCAAAAAAAAAAAAAAAAAAACGATCTTAGTACACAATGTAACTATTAAAAAAATCAGTCATTCAATAGAAAAATTATCAAAGCTCTTCTTTAAAATTTTTGAGCTAGATGCTAATGGTCTAATCTGATTCAACGATTTATGCTAAGCTAAGCTAAGCTAAAAAGTGCTCCTGCCACACTGAGAGATTGTCTAAATGGATTAAAAATTGATAAAACTCTACTGTTTAACTCTAGGAAACTTATAAAATTAGGCCTGTTTTAAAAGAAAAATGTTTCATCAAAGTGTTAAAGAGTTAGTAGACAAAAATCAAAACAATTTGAGAGAACAAAAGAGTACAAAATTGTCACTTCTTCATAAACTGGTACCAGCTATCAAAATAGAAGCCAATGCGGACTTTTTCTTATATAGTAAGTTACTTGCGCTTCAGAAGACGAAACACAGTAAACATGTAGTTACTTTAGGAAGCGTAAGACACTCTTTGGAAGCGCAGATGCTCAAACCAGTTCTGAGGTAATAATATTGAAACACTTTGAAGTTAGACTTTGGCTGAGGGATTTTAGAAAGACCAAAACAACATTTCAGATGTTTTACAATCCATTAATGTCAGTGATTAATTTGTAAATGATTTCCAGAACAAAACCAGGAATTAAAAGATCGATGTGCACCACACAATTTCAGTTTTCCCGGAACATGATGCCAATAAACGGTGATAGCGCAAAAAAAAAAAAAAAACTATCTTAGTACACAATGTAACTATTAAAAAAAATCAGTCATTCAATAGAAAAATTATCAAAGCTCTTCTTTAAAATTTTTGAGCTAGATGCTAATGGTCTAATCTGATTCAACGATTTATGCTAAGCTAAGCTAAAAAGTGCTCGTGCCAAACTGAGAGATTGGCTAAATGGCTTAAAAATTGATAAAACTCTACTGTTTAACTCTAGGAAACTTATAAAATTAGCCTGTTTTAAAAGAAAACTTTTTCATTAAAGTCTTAAAGAGATAGTAGACAAAAATAACAATTTGAGGGAACAAAAGAGTACAAAATTGTCACTTCTTGATAAACTGGTACCAGCTATCAAAATAGAAGCCAATGCGGACTTTTTTCTTATATAGTAAGTTACTTGCGCTTCAGAAGACGAAACAGTAAACATGTAGTGACTTTAGGAAGCATTAGACACTCTTTGGAAGCACAGATGCTCAAACCACTTCTGGAGGTAATAATATTGAAACACTTTGAAGTTAGACTTTGGCTGAGAAAATTGGCACTTGTGTGACTTCGGTAAATCAAATAGAATAGCTTGAAAACACTGACATATGCATTTCTGAGTATTTCTAAAGTATTGTAAAATACTTGTTCACCCAAAAAACCCAGAAGCAGTTTCCATATTTTAATTTCCGTAAGATTTTTTATGGCAAGGTTGACATTTCCATGGAATTGCTCTTATCTAACTCAGTTGTGAGCATTCATTTATGTGTATTTTCGAAATGTATGTGCATCTTGGCATTTCCATCAAACATCTTTTTTACGATATTCTAAAATGCACATGCAACTAGGTGAATAGGAACTCTAAACTCTCTCTCAACCTTAAATAACACAGTTATATGTGTACTGTGTTGCAGGTTCTGGCTCTCAAGACATCAGGAATATCATTCCCTTCAGTGGCAGAGGGTTTGTTCTTGGAGGAAATGCACAAATACCCACAAACAAGCAGATTCAAAGTCCTCCTAAAGCGCCACCAGAACCTCTGCATTCTCCTCCGGATTCTCCGCTTCTTCCGAGACTGCAGCTCAATGAGGACAACCTCAAGAGGCTCAGCTCAGGTACGTCGAATATTCCGCGTAAAAGGTCTGTTGGCAACACCAATGCCTTTATCAACGTCAATGGCTCGCCTGTGAGAATTTCCAATGGCAATGGCTCAGGAGGCAAGCAGCGGTCAGTTCGAGATCTCTTCCAAGCAATAGTTCTCAAATCTCCAGACAGAGGAGCCAGCGCTGTTGGATCTTCCAAGTCTTCCACAGATGCCTCGACAGCAGACTATAGATCTAATAGTGCCTTGGATGCAAAACCTTCTGGGAAGACAAGCCTGATCACTGACCATCTCTCATACACCATCTCCGGGCCAAAGACACTTTCAGCAGAGTCGAATATCTCCAAATATTTTGGAGGCAGTGCCAAAACAGACGTCCAAGATTCAAAGTTGAAAACCTTTGGAAGCCCCCAAAAGTCTGCAATTGGAACGCCGGGATACGTTTCTAAGGCCTTCGGAAGCAACCAAAGACCAGATTCTACAAGCTCAGGAATTCGAAACACGGGAAGTCCCCAAAGGTCGCATGCTTCGGCTACTTCGGGGTCCAGTTTCAAGCACTTTAGAGGTCCTGCAAAGCCTGAATCCAATTTTCCAAGCCCCAGAAACATTGGCAGCCCTCGGACATCAGGGACAACACCTTCAGGAGCCAAGAAAAGATCATGGGAAGAGCATAACTCAGAGCGTGTCTTTGATTACTTCCAGAGGACAGTTGGAGAGTCGGCCACGTCCACAGACAAGAAACGAGAGGAGGTCAGAAGCGAAGCTCCGCCTCCGGTCAGGGATCAGCAGGCAAACAATCCTCCAGCCCAAATCACAGTCCACTGCCCTGTGTGCCACATCAGACTACCCGAGTCCACAATTAATGACCATTTAGATTCCTGTCTTTTATAAGTACATTTTAGAAGATAGAAGTGTTGCTCTGATATCAATTTGTTCAAAATCTCAGGGATAACCTGAAGTGGAGGCATAAAGTATTCTTTTATGTAATAATAGCGAGAAATTTCAAAGGATTTGTAGGATCACCATCATGTGGTTCCAATCCCCTGAGACCTTTGCTTATCTTCAGAACACAAATTAAGATGTTTCAGATGAAATCCATAGGCGGAAATGGTCTCAAGACGTTTAAAGTCTAGAAAAGGAGCCAAAAACATCGTCAAAACATTCAGTGGATAATCATACAAACCTCCAAGTACATAAAACCCCGCATGAATATGACTTTGTTCGCCATTCTTCACAGCCGACAAAGTTGTTTTTATAGTGTTTTGGTGCACACAATTGTTCAAGAAGCTTCATATGATCACAGCTGAAGTCACATTGAAGGTTTTGGCTCTTCTTTTGGAAGTTCTTAGATCATCTTGTGACCACTGCTGTCAATGGAGTTTGAGAGAGCTCCAGGATTTCTTCTAAAATATCTTCATTTGTATTCTGAAGATGAACGAGGGTCTCATTTTGGTCAATTTTACGGACATGAGGGTATGTGATTCATAACAGAATTTTACATCTTTGATTGAACCCTTTAATTGCACAAACAAGGTAAGTCTCGGATCTTAACGTAATTTTAGAAGTCATCACCAGCCCAAAACACCCCACATTTACTCTTAGACTAATTGCACTCACTGAGCTATTCTACCTCATTTTTTGTTAACAGAAGTGTTTGCATCATGTGAAGAATGTTAGGTGTGTCAGCGCTGATTGATGGCAGGGTTGTAGGTGAGCGAGTGGTTGAAAGAGGCGTCGCTTGCCCTTGTTGATGTCCGCGCTTCACGCTGAGTCAGCAGCAGGGAATTTCACACGCATTGACTGTCCAGCTGTGGGATTTAGATGCGCTTGTGTTTCTGCCGGATCAGGCTTTGCAAGGTGGCTTTCGACTCGAGTCATCAATAACAGCTCGTCACATGATCAAGGGGGCGGGGTTTGCGCCTCAGAGCAATGCTCACAAATAACCCCACCCTGATGTGAATATGGGGCGTGTGCACTCCTGATGTAACAGCAGACATGATATATTGTTATTATATGACGTATTGTCGTGTTTCAAATCCAACCTTAGAAGGAAACAATGGCTGATGACGAGGGCATGGCGCTCGTGTTACTGGTAGAGCACGCAGATGTTATTTTCTTGGCGTGGTTTACTTAAAGGCTCAAGTGCACAACATTGATTCAGTGCAGTGGTTTGTTCGGTGTTTGATTTGCTCGAGGCATCGATGATGTCATTTGTTATGTATGCATGTGGTTCTATCGGTTGGTGATAAAGACAAATTATGCCGTTAATGCATCATTCTCTCTGCCGGGAGTGATTTTTGCACAACTTATTGCCTTATAAATGGTTTTATATTGATTCCTGTTACATTTTAATATTAAATTGAGAAGTGAGGGTGTTAACACCCCCACCACCAAAAAAAAAAGAAAAATCCCTGATCATTTGATCTCTCAAATCTTACGCTAGTTTCAAATCTGTTGAACGCAATGGAAGATATTTTGAAGAATGTTGGAAAGCAGCGCTATTGACTTCCGTTGTATTATTATTAGCTACTATGGAAGTAAATTGTGCTTTCTTACATTCTCCAAAAAAAAAAAAATGTGTTCAACAGAAGAAAGAAATTCATAAACTACGTAAATAGTGATGATTTTTGTTTTGTTTTAGGGGAGTACTGTCCCTTTAAGTGGTTATAAATCTTATGTATGTTTTAAATGTCACGTTTGTGCCTGTTATGTTGGACTGAAGTTGCCATCGTTAACCATGTTGTTGAAATAAATGTTCAATTGACTATTTAAATATTTGCGTGCACTTATTCTAGTAGATTTGGTATATGGGTGTGTGTATGGATGTTTCCCAGAGATGGGTTGCAGCTGGAAGGGCATCTGCTGCTTAAAACATATGCTGGATAAGTTGGTGGTTCATTCCGCTGTGGCGACCCTGGATTGATAAAGGGACTAAGCCACAAAGAACATGAATGAATGAAAACCTGTAACCATTGACTTCCTTAGTAGGAAAAACAAATACTATGGAAGTCAATGGTTACCGGTTTCCAACATTCTTCCAATATCTTCTTTGGTGTTCAACAGAGGAAAGTAACTCAAACGGGTTTGTCATAAGTGAATGATGAGAGATTTTTCAATTTTGGGTGAACTGTCCCTTAAATAAGTCATGAAGGTATATAATGTTAATGCTCCTTGATTGGAAAGCTTGAATTGTATATTAAATAACACAAAGTCAATAATAAAGCATGGCTTTATATGAGACATTTACACAAACTCTGTATAAAAGTTATGTTGTGATGCAAAAGAGAACATAGAAATGCCACAAACGGCTAAACGGTGGTCATTTTTTAGTCCACAATGTTCTTAAAGGAACAGTGCGCCAAAATTAAACATGTTCTGTCCTCATTTACTCTCCTTCCGCATGTTCCAGAGTTTCTCTCTTCAGTTGAACACAAAAGCACGCATTTTTAAACAAAAAACAAAAAACTGATTGACCTCACAGTGTTTGTTTTTCCTGCTATGGAAGCATCAATGGGTACCGATTTCCAACATTCTTCAAAATATCTTCTTTTGTGTTCAATTGAGAACAGAAACACATGCTAAAACTTGATATATTTGCTTAAATTAAAGCATTTTCCAGGGATGGGTTGCAGCTGGAAGGGCATCCGCTGCATAAAACATACAGTATGCTGGATAAGTTGGCGGTTCATTCCGCTGTGGAGACCTCAGATTTAAAAAAAAAAGGGAATAAGTCGGAAAGAAAATGAATGAATAAAAGCGAATCGCATGAGTAGATCGAGAGTAATTTATTTATTTATTTATTTTAGATTTTTTATATATATTAATTGTATTTATTTGTTAAAAAATGTAGGTGAACTGGCCCTTTAAAGGTGAGCAAATGTCCACGCGGTCAGATGTTTATCCCAATGTACTGATAACAATTCCAAGCAGACTTTAGCTTTTTGTGTGTGTTTATTTTGTGTTTTTACCTCATTGGCTGGTAAAAGAGGTCATGAGGGTGTGTGTGTGCGCATCTGTGTGTGTGTGTGCGCACATTTTCTCTTTGTCATGGCCTTGTGTCAGTGTTTTGTGTGCAGCTGTGTGTGTGTGTTGTGTCAGCGGGGCGGACCGTGGCTGCTCGTGGTCACCATCTGCCCGATACTGACACCTTTGTTCCGTGCTGGGATTCCGGCCCTGACCTCACCCTCGGTCAATTCATCTGGCCGTTTCCTGCCCATGTGCTGAGCTGCCATTAGAGCGCCGTGATCTGGATTTAACCCAGTAATCAAAAAGCCAGGGCTTAATTGGACTCTTACAAGCAGAGATAAAGCACGTTTGCATTTGTTTGTTTTGTTTTAGAAAACATTTAAGAACAGCTTATTTATAACGTAAATAATTATTTATTTTTAATTATATTTTATTTTATTTGACAGTTTTTTTATGTTTATTAACAAAATATTGTTTATTCAGAACATCTGTGGCAAATACATGTCATTTATTTATTTAAACATATTATTTATTTAAAACGAGCCAGAAACAAACAAAAATAACATTTACAGATTATTTTTATTTATTTGTTTACATTTGTATGAAATATTGCTATTGAAACTGAAATAACCACGATAAATAATATGCATTATATTATTATTATTTTATGTTTTAATTATTGTCAGTAGCAAATCTAAATAACAATCAGTATTATATATTATAACTTTAGTTTTATTGATACCTAACAACAATATTGTTTAACAAAAATGTATTAAATTTAATAGCATAATATTGTATGTATATTTATCATTTTTATATTGTAAAAATTATCCTCTGCATAAAACATAAGCTAGATAAGTTAACGGTTCATTCTACTGTGGTGACGCCTGATTAATAAAGGCACTAAGCCATAAAAGAAAATGAATGTGTATATATATATATATATATATATATATATATATATATATATATATATATATATATATATATATATACACAGAAACAAACTATATATATATATATATATATATATATATATATATATATATATATATATATATATATATATATATATATATATATATATATATATATATATATATATATATATATATATATATATATATATATATGCAAATTAAATATATAACATTCATATATAACGTTCATGTTTGGATCTCACATTTTAAAAAAATA